CGTTTTTCCCACGAGTCACGCCTAGGCGCGCCTAGGCGGCGCATTTTCGCGCCTTTTAGAACACTGATTATATATAGACTTGGTACATGGGAATTTGAAAATAAATGCATATAATATATGGTAACAAACTTGGAAGAAGATAAAAATATTACAACCAAAAATCTGAACGGATAAACCATAATCTGTAACTTAATAGTAAACTAGAATCTGTATTTGAATTCAAAGGCTATCCTTCACAGGTAAATCTTATCTCGAGTGTTTGGCTTCTTTTGTCATAAATGTTGGATAATTTCAACATATATGGGGCCACACGTTGTATATTGAAATGTGTGGTGCTATTATTTAAAGGATATTAGTCAATTAAAGTGTTCCGATAAAGATGTTTTGTGACTAATGGGTATTAGATTTCATGAAATTATAGTGTAGAGACCGGAGTGTTGTTTTAAATTGATGATTGACCAATTTGAAGCAACTGAAAGATAGTGACTACTGAGTTACTACTATTATTTTATATGGTTATGGTCCTCATTTGCTGGTAATCTTGAGTTTCTCTACATCCCCATCAATAGAGGCAAAAGTTGAAGTGAAAATCACCAATCATTTGGAAGATCCTAATCTATCCAGGCAAAAAATCAGATTATTATGGATCTAGGTATATTTTATTTTATTGTTTTCTCGGATTTCAACGTGGAGTAAGATATTAGGGTTTATATGAAAAAATGATTTATTTAAAGCATATGGATTGAATCGATAATCCTATTATGTTTTTCTATCAAGTGGTATCAGAGCCTCTCCATAGTTAAAATTTTGAGAAATTGAAAATTTAAAATTCTGAATTTTTTGGGTTATTTGATCTTCATGTTATTTGATGAAATCTGGCATATTATGTTATGATCTTCAATTCGGTATGTTAATACATAATATTAGCATGTTTAAATATGGATTTCAGAATTATTAAAGATTTTCTTTCAAAATTCAGATTTTTGGAATTAAAGATTTTTAGATCTGATTTAAAAAAAAAAAAAAATTGAAATCCAGTTTTTTGCAGTGGTTGCCGCCGTGGTGGCACCGACGACAACCACTGCGGCAGTAGCGTGAACGCTGCTGTGTGGGAATGCTGCTATGACCAACAGTGTCCCACGCTGCTGGGTGGCACCGGCCAGGGAGGTGTCGGAGGGCACTTGGCGGCGCATCCGCCAAGGATGAAGGAAGAAGAATGGTTCTTCATTAAAGTGTTTTTCAGTTATTGAAGAATTAAGGTTTTCAGTTTTGGAATTTTTGGGGACGGG